CTCCCCGAGGTCCAGTCCGCTGTGGACTGCGCCTCAATCGATCAAACTGTGCTACCATTTCTTTCGCAATTAATCACTCTCCCCGAAAGGCTTCAGGTTGCTGCGGTAGCCAAGGATGTGGACGGTTTGAGAGAAATCTACCTCTCCACCAACCCTTTCGTTACAGCGCTTGGCTTCAGTCTAGTCCTGTCTGTACTCTTCTTCCTCTTCTCAGAGATCAATCGCAACTACTCCCAAGTTGATCGTTTCTGGCCCTTTCTGCCAGCTATATACAATGTGCATTTCGCCGTTTGGGCACGTATGTCTGATCTTCGCACTCAACACCTGGACACGATCGCTATTATCGCTCTTCTCTGGAGTGTAAGATAATCATTGCGCTAGCCTCTAAATCACAAACACTAATTGCGCGCAGGTCCGCCTAGCATTCAACTACTGGCGCAAAGGAGGCTACAAGATCGGCTCGGAAGACTACCGTTGGGCAATTGTGCGCTCAAAGATCAACAACCGATTCATTTTCTTCATTTTCAACATCGTTTTCATCTCCCTGATCCAGTCCCTGCTGCTGTTGCTCCTCGCGGCGCCCACCTACAACTTCCTCCTTCTGTCGCGCCTCCCTGGCGGAAAGACATTTGAGGTCCCTGACCTCGTATTCTCTCGTGTCGCCTTCTTCTTCCTTATCATCGAATACTTCGCCGATCAGCAGCAGTGGCACTTCCACTGCGCCAAGCATGAGTACCAGAAGACGGCGCGCATCCCAGATCAGTACAAGGGCCAATACACCCCCGAGGACCTGGAACGCGGCTTCACTGTCAGCGGCCTGTGGTCTCTGTCTCGCCACCCTAACTTCCTCGCTGAGCAAGCTATCTGGCTGACCCTGTACTTGTGGAATTGCTACCGCACCGAGTCCTATGTCCAGTGGACTGGAGTGGGTGTTCTGGTTCTCCTAATGATCTTCCAGGGAAGCACTCGTCTCACCGAGTCCATCAGCTCCAGCAAGTACCCTGAATATAGCGAGTATCAGGCTCGTGTTGGACGGTTCATTCCCCGCTTTTCCGCGAAGCCCAAGTACAAGGGCAAGGCTAAGAAGAAGGCCAAAAAGACTGAAAAGGCCGAGCAGTCTGAAGAAGAGGCGGACAAGAAGCACCAGTGACGAGGTGCAAATATCAAGGGAATGGGTTGTGTTGTGTCGATTCTATATATCGGTCATATGATACCAATGTTTTGTTCGGTCTGGGGTTTCTGGTTACACGTTGTATTTTAAAAAACCTACTGTGTTGGCGTTATTCTGTCAAGGTTTTGCAAAGTAGGCTAAAGCCAAATATATTGTAAACATATTATACCAATCTTTAGTACTATACGAGTTTAAGCCTTAGCTGGTACATGCATAGAACTACCAAACATCTACAAGACTATGGGTATAACTCCGGTCTACCAGCAACAAGCTTGATAATATTGAAAGAAAGATGAGTCAAATGAGCTACCTACTATACAGTACAGTACACCGGATGCTTCTTATAAGAGGGAAAACGTGGAAGCGACAGATGTAGGGTAAGAGGAGAAGGAAAAGAGGAACAGAGGAAGATGAAGCGAGATATGAAGAGATCCTAGTATTTATGGCAATGAGGTCGAAGGAGAAAGGGGAAAAAGGGAGGAAGAACGATCAGAGGGATTAAAAGGAGGAAAAAAGAACAAAGAAAGGAGATGCTTCCGTAACGAGATAAATACAAAACCCAGATTGATATATGTCCCCTCGTCAACCGTAAATTTTCCTGTGTCTAGATAAGGAATTCAACAACGCATTTGTCTATGGTGGGGATGGTGTTTGGTCTCTTCCGTCTTTGCCTTCGGTTGCTTCGCTTGACTGGGTGGGTTCAGGAGGTGCGATAGTGGCTCCTTTGGCACCGTCGAAGTACTTGGCAAATTCACCAGATTCAGGCCAGGGTCTGGGCCCGAGGAGTCGGATGAGGTCGTCACGGCTGAGGACTTCCTTGGCCAGAAGCTCCTCGGCGACGATGCCGACTTCCTTCTTCTTCTCGGTCAAAAGGGTGCGGCATTGTTGGTATGCCTCGGCGACAATCCGACGGACTTCCGTGTCAATATCCTTGGCTGTTTCTTCGGAGAAAGGCTTGTGGAACTGATTGGGGTCCTCCTCGTAGTAGATGTATTTCAGCTTAGGTGACATGCCGAATTTCGTAACCATGGCGGTTGCCATACGAGTAACCTTGTTGAAATCGTCGCTAGCTCCGCTAGTGACGGTATCGAAGTGCAGCTCCTCACTGACACGGCCTCCCAGAGTCATAGCCATACGGTCCATGAGCTGGTTGACATTCATCAGGTAAGTGTCACCTCCGGCTGGGAGATACTGGGCGTAACCCAGAGCGCCTTGCCCACGAGGAATGATAGAAACCTTCAGTAACGGGTCAGCCCAGCGGAAATACCAGCCACAAATAGCGTGTCCAGCTTCGTGATACGCCACCGTGCGCTTCTCTTCCGGCGAGAGCACAAGGGACTTCTTCTCCAGACCACCAATCACACGTTCGATCGCCTGCTCGAAGTGCTTCATTGTGACATGATCCGCGTTTACACGAGCCGCTACAGAAATAGGTTAGTAAATGAATTCAAGATGTAACAATTACAAGGATGCAGCTACTTACCAACTAGGGCAGCCTCGTTCACGCAGTTAGCGATGTCGGCACCAGCGAAGCCGGGGGTCAAAGCAGCGAGTCTACCGGTGAGGTACTCCATATCCTCGCTAGTAACAATCTTCTTCAGATGGACGCGGAAAATCTGCTTGCGGCCATCCATAGTAGGACGGTCGATAGCGATATGCCGGTCGAAACGTCCCGGCCGCATCAGCGCCTTGTCCAGAACATCGGGTCTGTTTGTACCAGCCAAGACAACCACTTGGTCAGAGGTGTTGAAACCATCCATCTCAGTAAGAATCTGGTTCAGTGTGCTCTCACGCTCGTCATTTCCGCCACCAAAGCTTTGCTTTGCTCTCGATTTACCGATGGCATCGATCTCGTCAATGAAGATGATGCAAGGCGTGTTCTTACGAGCATTGGCAAAGAGGTCACGGACACGGGAAGGCCCAACACCAACGAACATCTCAACGAACTCTGAACCACTGACGCTAAAGAACGGAACACCAGACTCACCGGCCGTTGCCTTGGCGAGCAATGTCTTACCAGTACCAGGAGGTCCAGAAAGAATGGCACCGCGAGGAATCTTGGCACCAAGTTTCTGGAACTTTTCGGGGTGTTGAAGGAAGCTGACGAACTCCATGATTTCAACCTTAGCCTCGTCCATTCCAGCCACATCAGAGAACTTGATCTTGATATCTGTCTCGTGGTTGAAACGCTTGGCACGGCTCTTTCCAATACCAAAGATACCACTTTGGCCACCGGCACCGCCAGCAGCACGTCTCGACAACCAGAAAACTGAACCAATGAGGAGGAAGGTAGGAGCAAAAGACAAGAGAGTGGCACCCCATGATACTTCTTCGGTATACGAAACGGGAATACGCTCAGAGCCAGGGATACCCAGCTCATTCTGCGCTTCATCCAATCTCCGCTCGAAACTCTCGACCGATCCGATACTGAAGTAGTAATGGAATAGGGGCTGGGTAGCCGGAGAATCAGGATAGACCCGGGAGACCGCGTCACGGTTCAGTTCAACCCGAACTCGGTTGCCGTTGATAACGGTTAGCTTGTCGACTAGACCTTTATCGAAGAAGTTGGCTCTGAACTCTTGCCATGTAATATCCTTGCTGTTTTCGCCAGGGAAGAAGCTGCGGTAGACATAGTAAGATAGAAGGGTGGTGACTAGGAACGAGGCGGGGTCGAAACGGAACTCGAAAACTCTCGCATTCGGTGGCGGTTTCCATTCATTCTTGCCCTTCCCTTGTTGTCCTTGTTGTTTCTGGCCCTGTCCATCTTCTGATTTCTCTTGGTCCCGCGTTCTCTTCTCCTCCAACTCGTTCAGTTTGGAGGCATAGTTTTCCAAGTACTTCGCCATGTAACGCGTCAAGTTCACATAGTCCATCAGAGACGTGGGTTTACCGGATTTTAAGTGTTTCTGGATGAAGTCGCGGACCTCCGGCGGTAATCCTTCGCTCATCATGATCGACCGCATATCGTCCAACATTTGGTGCTGTGACTGTGGCACCTTCGACTTCAGATGCTGTATAAATTGATCTACTGACTCCTGCTCCTGTTTGCTGAGCTTCGATTGAGGCTCCTCTGACTTCTTTCCTTCTCCATCCTTACCGCCGCCATTCCCGGATTGGTTTGGTGGTTGGTGTTGACCGTCATTCTCGTTCGGGGGTTTCGGACTTTGGGTAGCATATGTTCTAAGAAGGCATGGCGTGGTGATAAGGGATGATAGTCTCGATTGTGAGATGTGCGCCGACCGTGGTCCTGCGCGATAGATATAATCTGCGGCTCTCCTCGAATATCGAGCAAGATTGCCTGGCCGTCGGAGTAAGGTGGCCATGGTCGAGGAAGGCGAGCCCGAAGGCAAGGGTTAGGGGGTGATTCAATCGAGGTTCAGGAATAATGGCAGACTGCCGAATCCATATAAGTCCTCGTGAAGCACTAAATTGGAGGTGTGAGAGGGAGTGGAAAGCTCTTTTGGGGAAGAACTGTCTGTCGCCGTCGAGTTACTAACTTGAGTTCCCGCCGCCTTTTGTCGGACTATGGGTTTTTTCGTAGTTCCGCCCCCCGGTGGCTGAGTCATCGGGTTACGGCCTTACCAAAGCAGCCTGGCGGCCAGAATCCCAACGAAGGTAATGGACCTTCCAGACCTCTTTCGTCATAGCTACTGCTCTTGAATTTACGAGTAGATTAGGAGATATGGAGAGTAAAGCTGACCCTTTCACGGAGAAATTGGGGAAGAATCTCCCTATTGATCACCCAAAATTTACAGTATATAGACAAAAAGAACTCTCTCAAGTTAGCTAGTACTTCTTAAAGATATAAACATTTTACCACTTTCAAAATATATACGTCACGGTACGCTTCAAACATACTATTCGAATGTATACTAAATTTCTATCTACAGAGAAGACATACAAGATTCCCAGTAACGACAGTAACTGTGGAGCATGTATTTATATTTTCTTATCACAAAATAACTATTATGTGAATGCTACCTATACTACAGAAGGGGTAATGTAGAACCTCGGCTTCTCGTAGTTCACGTTGCCCTTGGCCTACAGGCGCTGGCGGATCTTGCGGTTGTAAGAGTGGAGTAACGAGAACCCCCATTTTTTAAACGCCGTTAACCCCACCCAAAAAATATATGACTAGATACAATCATATGTAAAAAGAATAATCAATCCCCAACTCCATTGATTCCATGCAATGTTAGGGTTCGAGTGCATCCCGTTGTAGAGTTCGTCAATTTTTTCATCTCATCATAATCACGGTCCAGTGTTGGGTGTCCCCTCAAAGACCGGGAAGTTGCTCGACATGTCGGCCCAGTCCCATTCGATCGTCATCGGCATCTGCCATAGGTCTTGTGGGACAAAGGGTTGTTGGAAAGATGTCATAGGGGTTTCAGTAGGAGTGCCAAATGGTTGTTGATCACCAAAGCCCATACCGTCCATGTTGTTGGGGCTAAGCATCTCTGGAAAATCGTGTCCCATACCAGGCATGGTATGCATGCTTTCTTGCATAGATGTGGGGACACCATTAGTGGCTAGAACAGGTTGACCTGGAGCGAATGCCCTTGCAGAACTCGACATATCAGGCCCAGTGTTGCCCAGATTCATTGGGTACGAAGATGACGGGAATGGTGCAGTTGTTGGTGGACCTGTTGGCCTTTTAGTGGAAGGGGAAGGAGCCGAGTTCTCATCAGGTGTCTGTTGCTGCAGATCCTGTGGCTCATCAGGGGCTGCCTTGCGCTTCTTCTTGGAATGTGACTCCTTTTCCGCCTTGTCAAGAATGACTTGAGCTATTCTCTCAAACTCGCCACAGAGGCCAAGCATACGCTTAATGCTTCCATTGGATTCATCAGAGACGAGCGTCGAGAGGAAATTGACAACCACATTCATGAGTTTAACATCAGAACGTGCTCGAGCATCGTTGGGGTTTTGAAGAATATTAGCAAATAGAGTGACCAACGCTGAAACGGGATAATACAGAATTAACCTAAAATCTGTTAGCGTGCGACTGTGGCCATCCGATCTATACGCTCGACTCACCAGACACAAGCGAAATCACCGTGCGGTATATATTTGATCAAATTGATAGACGCTCTGGCGGCCGTGACGCAGAGAACGGCAGATAAAAAGACTCTAGGATTTAACGGCCTGGCATTGAGACCTTGAATTGCATAGTTGGATAGCCGGCTTGTCCAATAGCCGTGGTGTACCGACATCCGGTGAATCGTTGTCAAGCAGTTATAGTAGGAAAAATGAAGGACGACGACGTGGAGAATCAGGGGCGTGTGGGAAGCTTTGATTTCGTGCTCAGGTCGGAAATCAATAGGAATGCTGTCTTTCCATTCCTCCAGTTCTCTGTCCAACTCTCCAATAGTATTTAGCAGCTCACCATCGGATTGCTTAGACGCTTTGGCAGAGTATAGCCGCTTATAAACTCGGCTCTCAATGGTTGCGAACCGGCATAATGATCTGAACAAGTTGAACTTCCCCTTTCCGTCAGACAGAGGAACATTGCCTATGTTATCTGGCGGATCTTCGCTGGGTAACTCCACATTCATATCGTCGTCATCCTGCACAGGGGGGCGGCCAGAACGGAGGCAGATACTATGAGCATGTTAGTCGTGCAAAAGCAAGGGGCTAAGAATGGTAATGGAAATTCATGTCTTCAACATACTCTTTATCAAGAAGATAAGCGATCCAAAACACCCTCTTTCGCTGCTCAATTTCAACTGGATTTAGTCCAAATCCTGATCCCCGTTTATGGAGGCCGATGCTATGCGACAGCCTGATAGCCGCTGCAACTAAGAAGAAGGAAGGCTGAGGATTCGGAGTTCCTTGTAGGAAGAGTGACTAGACAATTGTTAAGCCCCAAATATCCAGTCATCATCAAGTCTGCGTGATACGTACCATGCCTAGCAATGCTTGGACACTCAGAAGATCCGTATTCCGCATGGTCAATTCGGTCAAGACCCCCATGGCATTTTTCAAATAGAGCCAAGCTTTCTTATCCTCTTCTTGGGGCACTAAATTACTCATGACTCGTAATCTGTGCGCGATGGCGAGGACAACATTGATACTAGCCCACCAGCCAGAGCCTTCATATGGATCCCGAGAATATTGGCGCTCCACCAAGTGCATGAATGTTGGTTCGTGAAACAGCGGGAACATGCAGTTGAAATTCTCAAAAAAATCTCGGAACAGTGATAGCGCCTCCTCCTTCGGGGGTAAGGGTTTGAATACACGACGAGCAAATATGTCGCTAAAAATCTCTGGTTTCCAGTACATCCACTTGTTGTCATCCACGTAGGCTGACGAGATCATGTCCTGAAAAGAGGTATCGCCTGTTTTTTCATTAACCCATTGAATTCCCTTGGGAGAGAATATGGAAAATCCCGAAGATGATCCTGTCATACAATGTTAGCTTGTGTCATAGAGTTTGCCGAACTGGACACGCGCATACCGATGTACCGCGTTTCTCCACAATTATTCGTCACAAGAGAGCACATCATGTCTGACAATCCCTCGACTTCTGTCTCGGATTCCTTCGGTGAATCGGGAGAGGTGGCAGCTGTGCGCGGACTGGACTGAGAATCCATCCGCGGCGTCGAATGTCGAGACGCAGTAGTGTGCTGGGATTGCGACGTTGCGCTTGAGCCATTGAATTTGTTTGTTGGGCTTTTTAAGGAGTTCAGCCCAGTGTTGCCTAGAGATCGGTCGGCGAGACGCTTCTCCAGAGTCCCAAGATCCGTCTTCCCATCATCTTCCGACAAGAGACCCGACAGACGTAAGAGCGATTCCATTCTTCCTAACCGATTCTCCAGACCCTCGATGTACTTGGCACTAGAAGGGTAGACGATCAGCGCCCGCAATGATGAAGCATGGGGTATATGCGCAAGCATACCCTTTGGGAGGATTTCGCTTCTTTTCCACCTGAGTGAAAACACAATCCGTCTTATAGTTTATACAGTGGGAGCATTTGGGCATCTTGCCGTCGCATTTGATTTTCTTCTTCCGGCACATGTCGCAGGCCTACATGGGGATAATCAGCTTCGCTGACACTCAACCGCCAATGTCATAGTCGATCTCTACTCACCCTTGCAATCCTTCTCCTCTTGGCATCATTGTTGTCTTCACCCGCCATTCCAGGTTCCTCGTTATAGGTAGGATTCGAGAGAACGTTGTTTAGTGGTGAACCGCGCGAACTGTCGTGGTTATAGCCGCCGAAAAGATGGGGCTGTTGGTTCATAAGCATCGGCATATCGAAGCCCATACCATCTGGACCTTCCCCCATGCCATCCATCGTGGCAAACCAAACAAACTGTGATGGTGCGACGTCTTGAAAGCTTGCGAAGTATATTGTGGAGTTCCAATGTAGGCGGGTATCGTTTCAGGCGTGATGATGATAGGAAAGATGCGGGGTCTTTCCGCGAAAACGTCAATGGCGTAAAAGAGCTGTTTCCAGTCTCTCCTTCCTCCGCTTGATTACCTGTTCAGTATGAAGGTTAGGTGATACACGAAAGAAAGACTAGGGTCATCGGACGCTAGCCTTTCTCCAGTGGGGAAGACCTTCAAAGGGCGAAAATAGCTTAAGTTACTCAGTGCGTTTGCGCAAAGTTGAATGGAAAAAGAATAGCTGACTCAACCTCCCCAAACTCTGGCACGTGGCGAACCTTTTCAGTGGACGGCGGAGAAAAAAAAAAAAAAAAGGAGAGAGAGGGAAAAGGAACGACGTCAACAATTTTGTGTGTAGAGTAACGTTTATGATCAGGCAATTCTTGGGGAGTGGAAATTCAAGAGATCATTTCTCAAACCCCCTAAGGATTGACATCAAGGAAAGAGAGTCATCTCATTCGTACTCGTAAACTACGTTGCTGCCTTCAAGCAAGACGAACTAATTAACCTTACTAATTCAATAGTAGGGCACCTAAACTTCAAACTTCACAGACCATTTCCCTTCCTTTCAGGTACTACGGAGTAAGATAGGTGGGTTTTGCTTCATGCCAAGTGCATCCTTAGTGCGTTGCTCTCCCGTGGCTCGAATATACGACGTTAAGACCTTCGGGAACTGTTAAGTCCGATCTCCGTTGGACTTGGAAACTCAAAGCTGATTCTTCCGGCTGTCTTGTCTCCGGAAACGCCGACATCCGAGCTGCCCTTGGCGTTTTCTTCCTTCTTCTGAAGGCGTCCAAAGTCACAGGACTTCCGACCTTCGGAACCCTGTTGCTTGTTTCGAGTCAGAGAATGTTTCCTAGGACCACGTGGAACGGCCCACGGAGGTTATTACAACTTCCAGCGATTATCTAGCATGCATCTCATGCAAATCATGCTGTGAATGACCTGATAAAGAGACCAAAGCACCGACAGCCTTCGTTCGATTTCCACCGGTAACTACAAAGGGTTTATGCTAGATCTGGCCAGGTCGAGACAGTTTAAACCTTACTCGATAGCCATGATCCTGGTGCGCTATCCTAGCTGCAACGATGATTCTCAATGATAGGCTTCTTTAGTATTTATACAGTAGTACATGTAAAGTAATCAGGAGTGGCGATCTCGTCAGGATATATGCAAACACAAGTCTCCGGGAGGAGCATGAAGAAATGTACCTCGTCCTCGAAAATTCCACCAACGCCATGCTATGCACCCAAAAAAAGACATTCTCTTTCCTTATACAATGAACGAAGGGTCCACCCTTCCGTTCTTAGAGGATCCGCAAATACCCCCAACGGTGACCAGGGGCCACGGCCCCTTCCGATTCCACCATTAAGTATGCTTATCGAGAAATTCCTTGGCTTCATTGATCTTCGTTGCCAGGTATGGACTGCCACCGCGATCGGGGTGGTTAAGAAGCATCAGTTGACGGTGCTTCTTGCGGACCTTGTCCTTGTTCAAGGTACGTTCCCTATTCATTCTGTTAGACTCTACCCAAAGTCGGTACGAGACAACGGATCCAAAACATACGGAAGTTCCAGGATCAATGCGGCTTCACGACGGTTCATCCGGGGTTCAAACCCTCTATACGCCAGTCAGCTATCCACTCTATAGCTCCACTTATACATCCAAATCACCTACCCCTTGTAGAATGCCTTGCCCGCGGCGTTCACACCTCCCCTGTAGCGACGGAAAGCAACGAAACCCGCGCGACCCTATACACAGGTGAAAATGCCGGTGTTAGTTTGCCACGCCCTATGACCGAAGAATCTATGTTCCCTGGCTTACCAAAAATGCCGCGGTCGCGACACCGAGTCCCATAGCAAGAGTTGAAGCCATCTTCGTTGATAGTCGGTCTTAGAAAATACCGGGTCCGGTCGAGGGATAGGCGATATCTGAGTCGAGGCTGGATTAACACGGGAAAGAGGTGTTCGATGTGACGTTCGTTGGGAGACACGGAAGGCCGTCGAGATAAAAATTCGGAGCGCCGCCGCCGATGCCCGTTTGGGATTAGCGTCTTCTCCGCCACGATTTTGGAGATCTGCGAAAAGTTTCTGGCGGTACCTGAGGTTGTTATCACCGCTGATACCTTCAACTTCCTCCCAGTTTATTTTTAGTTGTAAATTTGAAGGAAGTGGGCAGAGACATCATTCAAGATGAGGTAAGTTTGCACTTTATACAGTTTTCGCTGTTTTCCGCCAGTGTTACTTTGATAAGACAAAAAAAAAAGTCACTAATCATCTGCGCAGAGTTGAAACCTGCCACTTCTGCAGTCGGTATGCTATAACCCCGTCATCAACCTAGGTACATTTTTTTTTCTAACAGCAAAACAGCCCTGTATACCCTAGCAAGGGTATCAGTTTTGTGCGGCTCGATTCGAAAATGTTCCGGTTCTGCAGAAGGTGGGTGGTTCCTACGATTAACACGGTTGAAGAAACGCTCTGACTCCTTCCAGCAAATGTCACAAGAACTTTAAGATGAAGCGCCAACCCCGGAAGCTGAAGTGGACCAAGACCAGCAGAGCTGCAAATGGAAAGGAAATGATTGTCGATTCGTCTCTCGTTCTGTCTCAGTTCGCCAAGAAGAGGAACACCCCCGTCAAGTACGACCGCAACCTCGTGGCCGCTACCGTCAAGGCTATGGAGAGAGTGGAGGAGATCCGTCAACGCAGAGAGCGCGCTTTCACCAAGCGCAGATTGGCAGGCAAGGTCGCTCGGGACCGCAAGCGCGAGGCAGACCGGAGGGTTGTGGCCGAGGGCGAACACCTTATCCGCAAGGAACTGCGCGACAGAGAAGAGGGCATGCCATTGGTGCAGGAGGGCAAGCGGAACAAGATCCACGGCGAGGAGAGGCTCAGACAGAAGAAGAAGACCAGAGTTCTCGTGGATGGCACAACTCAGGAGGAAATGGACGTCGATTAAAGGTTATGCGCTTTCTTTGTTTCTTTCAGATACGATGCCCTGGGTTTTACAATGGAGTTAGGTTGTTGTGATATCTGATTTGTTTGCTACTAAAAAGAACTGATTCATACCTAGCTAGTGAATATTATTTCTACATGGTTTACGGCTTATGCCGGTTTACATGCCTTGTATAGACTTTCCTGTTCCTGTCTATAGATCTTTGTCTAAAAGCCATCTGCCGGGATGGTGCCACATCCACCATTCACTGGAGAGCAAGGCCTTTATTCACTTTGCTTGCTAGGTTCCTTGCTCCTCTTTACATGTTCTTGCTGTTTGTTGCTGGTCCAATGGCTGTTGCTCTGACTGGATGCATGGTGCGTTCCACATCTCTGTAAAGAGCAAGTAAAGGGCATCCTCCCTAAAAGAAGTATATATTCTTCCATTCTGTTCCCCTTTCTGACCTTTTCCTCTTTACCACGTCATCTTACACTTGGCTTCCATAAAGCTTCTGTATATGTTAGCTAGACCAGACTAATACCAAGGGCTGAGAGACTAACATGCCGTGAGATCCTGCCAAACCGCGCCTGATAGTTATTACTAACATACCGCAGACAATGTTCGTTCCATTCATCGGCCTCTTCGTCACCTTGACATTTCTCGGTGTTCGTCTCAAAGTACCGGGAATGAAGGAGCTCACTGACCGCCGCGAGCCACTCTTCATGCGCATATCAAGCGCCGTATGCATCGCGTCAGAAGCAAATACAATCCTGGACATTGCGCAAGTCGCTACATGGGTATACAAGACAGCAACTCACACCAAAGGTCCTGTGCCCTACAACTGGGACAGTCTCTGGTGCCCCATTAGTCGAGAGGACTTGGTTCCCGAGAGGGGACTCATAGTGGTCAACAACACGGAGACCTCGCTCATCGCTCTTTATCCCGTTTGCTACGAGGAAGACAAACCCATCTGGTGGAACGATGCTCACGTCGACCGGAATGCTGGCGACAATGCCACAACGACACTACCTTCTTTCAAAGAGTTCTTAGACATTTTTGTCGCCATTTCTTGTATATCATTGCACAGTTGGACTCGCATATCCTCGTGGGGACGCTCTGCAAAAGCTACGCGACCCGGAACGCCCTCCAAGGCATCTGAGGGCAGTAATGAGGATACGTCGACCTGTATTCAGATCCATCCTAAAGTGCAGAAAGCGATCTTCCGCAACCAACGCAGCCGAGCATTCGGAGAGACTCCAGAAGTCGGCCTTGTCAGCGCTGACAACAACATTGCACAACCTGTTCCAGAAACATGCTACTTCCCGGGGCGACAATGGGCTCTGGATCTTTACCGACCTCAGAACCGTGCCTTGGCTCTGATAATCCGTGCTTTAGTCGCCAACCCAGCTGTACATACCGTTCAACTCGCACCTAGTCAACCAGAACCTCCCGAACCTGCACTGCTCTGGCCTAGTAGGCAATCCGGATATAACCTACCAGAACAAGACCAACTAGAAAGACCCAACAAGAAACGGAAGAAAAACCGCCCCAGTCAGGAAAGGAGAGACCGTTGGATGCGGAAGCGTCAAAGGAGATGGGAATCAAGCGAAAGTGATAGAGTAGATAGAGAAGAGCGAGGCCGGAGACAGACGAACAGCCCGAAGCCCCGACCTTTGATTACCACGCACAGGTAGTGATATAACCATCTTCCTATTCACCCTGTTCGTCCCGTGGATAATCGATTGAGATTTGTTCCTCCCAATCTATGATCTGATTATCTTGGCCGTGTGCTTAAGAGTGCGGCCGGACGGGGATGCCTGTTTATGGTTGAATATCTTTATTGAACCTCCGGATTTATGAGTCCTTGGCTCGTTTGTTAGCCAAGGTTGGTACGTGGGGATGGTTGGGAGGTAGCTTGGTGCTTGTTGGACGCTCTTGGGATTTCTCACGTCTGGCGCGATGTGCTCTAGTGAGGGTGGAATGCATGAATCCTCAATGTGTTTTGTGTACAAGTTTTGGCGTTTGGGCTATGCAAGACAATATAGAATGTTAAGTAGTCTTCTGTATTAATATAACTGATCAATGTCGACCATCCATATGATTCTCGATCAGTCCACAAATTATCTGCATTGTGAACCAGCTTCCCTTCGTTGCTCAGGAGTGACAAGTATAACCCAGTATGATGTATTTAATGGTATCCCATTGGGAGTTTGTGTACACATATAAAAAGGAAACAGTCGACGGACTCATGTGAAGGACTCTGGTCCGGTATATGAGGGCGATGCAAATGCTGTGATACAAATAAAATGATACATATATAATCAGAATGGAGTAATTGAGTGGCAATAGTGGGAATATGAAGGGAGAGAGAAAGAAACCAATGAAAAGAGGGAAGGCAGAGAATGAGATCTAGACGACCCATTCAAATTCATCATGCATACCAGGGCCCCAAGGTCACACGAAGTGCCGACGGGTGATACATTCCCTAGTAACCTGTCATACACGCAAAAAGGGGTTGTTCAAACAACACAAGTAACCGCAGAAAAACCAACGTTCGCAAAATACGCGCGAGCTCGTACATGTCATGAAAAGTCACTGCTGCAGCGCAGCAGCCCAATCGGCTTGAATCTATGGCCGAAGAGAAGTTCGTGAGAATCACACAGAAAGATTATCCAAGGGGGTATAAGAAGAGTGGGTTGTTTACTCCTCCATCCGACCAAAAACGCCATCGTCGTCCTCATCAGCCGCAGTTGGCCGGTGCCCAAAATCCACGTCTGCATTGCGACTCTGCCGTGTGCTGCGATCCGCATCGCCCATCTTCACTTCTCGCTCATCTGACACCTTGTACGACAGGGAAGGGTTATACGAGAGCGAGAGGAAAAGGTTTGGAGTAGAGTTCGGGAAAAGAGCGTCTGCCTCCTTGGTTGCCGACTGATCCAGGCTCTGGCTCTCGTTACCACTCGCACCGGCCTGGTCAAGGAAGCGACTTGGCAATGGAGGGACGGGGGGTACACTGGGGGACATTGGCACGGGCCTCGTACGAGGGGTGTTGAAGGTGCAGAGACCGATGGCTGCAGCGAGATCCGCCTCGTCATCTTCGTGCAATTTGGCTTCGGCGGTCGAAGGTCGGGTATCGATACTCGAGTGGCGGTAGTGTGAGAACGCCGGCGAATGCCATGGGGCACTGCCGGTAAAGGAGCTCGAGGGGATGGACTGATAAGAGTGAGAGAGGAGGCCCGACGCAGTACTGACACTGAACCGCTTCTCCATAGTTGGCTCGGGAGACATGTCCTCATCGTCCTCGTCATCCTCGTCCATCGGGGGCGGAGTGGTCTCTGCGGAGCTGAGCCCATCTCGAAGTTCTGACGAGGCATCAGGGGACGCCGACGATGCTTCCGACTCGGCCTCCGCGCCTTCTGGCGGACCATCCTGGTTCATATTTACCAAAACGGAGGCTGCCTCGAGCAGCTGGACTTGTTGATGCTTAGAGATCAGGAGTTTCGAGGTAATAGCCCATGCAGGGTCATGTTCCCACCTAAGTACCATAAAACGTCAATCGAGTGTGGCCCGGGACGACAGGGGAGAGAAAAGGATTTGGAGAATGAGGGGAACTGAATGACCACGAAGGCGACCTTGCACAGAGCCGACATGGCGCATTTACCCCGAATCGAGCCAGACGGCAGGATGGCATGCTAGGGGAGGATACACACATATGCTTAGACAAGCAACTGCCATGCTTATACCCTTTCCCGCAACGATCGCAGCGAAGTTCTGTCATGGAGCGCTTCCCTTCGCCTTTGATAAGGTGTGATCCCTCGCTGGCCCGACGGTTTCGGTTCTTATTACCGTTGGCGGACTTATTGGCAGAATTGTTTCCATCTACAGTCGCGAGGTTTGGCGAGGATGCATCATTTGAGTTGGTTGGCGAGGCCTTGCGAGCGACCGGCGGCTCATGGCTGGGGCTATTCATGCTCCGTGATAAGTAAGAGCCGAAGCCGGAGGGGGCCCCGACCGAACTAGATTCCAAGCCTTTTCGGCTCCCTCGACGATGCGGAGGCATAGAAACTCCTACTGACTCCCCAGCCGAATCCTTCAAGGAGGCAGCAACTGCCGCGGCAGCAGCGTTGGCGGCAGCAGCAGTGGTGACACTTTTCCGGCGAGTTACCCGATGATTAGCGTTAACCGCACCGAGAGAGATGGAATGGGCATGGTGGCGTGGGTTGGACTGAGGTAGAGGGCGAGAAAGAGATAACTCCTGTCCAATGGACGAAACCATTCGAATTAGCAATTTAACGAAGAGTACTACTTAGTTAAAGGGAATTTAATGTAGAATTGGGCGACAAACACCGTACCTTGAATGAGGCCATGGTGAGTGCGTGGACTCTCGGGCGATCAATCTCTTGAAGCCCGCTTGAAGATAGTATGATCAAAACCGTGGGGTATGTTAATTTGGCGGTGATCCGAAGGGATGAAGAGCGAAGTCGACGTGAAAAAGGGAAGAAAAAAAAAAAAAAAAAGGCAGAAGAAGAGTTTCGTCTTTCTCGGGGGCGAATTCTAAAATAGTGTGCCGGTACCTATTAGTGAGGCTGAAGTAAAAAGGGCAAGGGGGGCAATTGAGGAGGATCGGTTTAAGTGGAAGCGGAGATTGAAAGAGTGGACAAGAAGAGGTGGAAGAGAGAGGTATAGCGACAGAGGAGAAGAAGGGGAAAAAATTGAAGAGGAGAGAACAAAAAAAAAAAAAAGAGGAGAAAGGAACAAGAGAGCAAGAAGCACGATAGAGGAGAAGTTGAATGAATGGATGCACAAGGAATCCGGTACGGTAATGGTGGTACACTCCAGAACTTCAAGACACAACCTACCTAAGTGTGTTCAGGTAGTAAAAGTAAATTAAAATAAAAATGGAAAAAAATTCCAAAAAATTAAAAAAAAAAAAAAATTCCCAAAAAATAACAGCTTCTGCGGGGCCTTTGGGTTCACTAGTTGACAGAATGGATTCCAAGCAATGCGGGGGTTTGGGCGATCTCCGGTTGGTTTGGTTATTATTCCGGAGATTTTAAAAATAAATCTTTTAAAAAAACAAAAGAACTCTTGGAGAAAAATACAAGAAATGACTCCATTCACAAATAGTCCCCTTCAAAGAAAAAATTGTTCAAACTAATTTTGCAAAGAGAGTCAAAACAAATGGAAAATCCTTCAGGCTGCCAATCATTGCTGTCAGACCGTCAGGGCAGAAACAGTTGTTCCTGACTAACCAGCAGGCAAAGAGTGTGATGTTATTTGCTCCACTCGCATCTGGGATCCGATGTCCAGGCAAGGAAATCGCTCTGGTGATGTTGTCATTCGGTTCCAAGGCCCCCCCCATAATGGGACTCTGTAGACTTGGAAAAAGAAACTTGCCAGAGTTGAAACGGTAATAATTTATTCCCAGTTTGAAAAGGAAGAACAAAAACTTTTTTGTTTTCTTTTCTTTTGAAACCGAATTAGTCAGTAACTTGTTGTCTGCATGGTCACCTGGTCAGCACGAGGCCATGCCGTATGGTAACTGTTATGGTAGCAAAATCGAGGAACCAAATAGTAGATCATCCATCAACTTTCAGGCAACATCTCAGTTTGCAGTACTAGTTCCCAGAAGGAGGGATTAAATTAAAATCCCAATTGACACATAATTGGCTAGAGCTGGTGTGATCTTCTGACAAGTGCAGATTCCCCCTTTCAAAAAAAGGAAATTTAATTAAGAATACATCTTCATACAAAACAATCTCTTTCATCAACAAAACATAGCGAGAGGAGTAAAAACGATTGGCATCTAACCTGAGTAGGTACACGGGCGTACAGTTCATACCTCCTCGACTCATTACCGCCGGCAATACATTACAGCGACTACGGCCCCAAAAAAATCACTCAAATGGGTGATCTGTGCTGTACTCCGTCCCGGTGACCATACCGTAATACGTAGGAATCGACGCATCGACCGGTCTAGGGCTCGGTGGGTGGATACATGATGTCATCCCCCATGGCCGTACCGTACCGTATGATTGGATGACGCCGCCATCCCCCAGTGCCAATCACCCTACAAATGGGGGATAAACTGGGAAAGGGCTGACTGGCTGGGGTCAATTCGATACGGTACCGCTGCTGGTTCCCAAGACCTTATCTTACCGCCAGAGTGCCTGAGGTTAGGGACCTTGTATAGTACTATGTACAGTACTACTAGTAAGGTACCACTCAGGTACAGAGGGAAGGTAAATTTGCCTATCATTCGAACGACCCTAAACTTTCCCAGAGGTAAGGCACGTCCAATGGTTGAGGCACCTATGTCCTACCGTAGTGAATTTGCGATTCAGCCAAGATGAAGATCCGCCAGCTGCATTGACAGGTCATTGGACACATGGCCAATACCTACTGACTGGGTAGTACCCTAAAACTGCAAGTCAAGTGCATTCCTTCGGACTTGGTTCCATGGCTGAGCCATTCTTTATGATTATGATCAATTAATAATTTTGTTTGGTTTCTACTACTTTTATTTTTATTTTTATTTTATCTATTTATTTTTTCTTTTAAATTTTCTTTGAATTTGCAGTTTAATATACTTTATCTATGTAAGATTGGTCGTAGATTTATGTAGCACAAATTACCCTGTATCCAGAAGTGAGTAGACAGATATTCGTTCTCCTACTAGTAGTAATCAATGGTCGCACCACAAAGGGCCAGTTTCAACTGCGGCACGCCACAGCTTTTAGCCCCAGGCATCGATTCGGCTTTGACGAGTGATTCTCGAAGGAATGTCTCAGGCACTCACATTGTCCGCCATCGGTGTTGCTTACGTTGCTTTGCGTGCTTAGTACCTAGGCTCCATTGATTTAGCCACAATGCCAGATTGTCTTTTTGAATGACGAGTAGTCACGTATCCTTTCAATTTGAAGGTATTAAACTACAGTAGTACTGAACCAGCGCAATGGCTTACCCAGATATGATCGCCTTATCGTCACACATCAGAGTAATCTTAGTCCACAGCCAAGAGCCAGGTGTTTTCATTCTGAAACTGTTCTTTCAACGTCTTTAAGTCCACAGCAGCTCATGGCCTTCTGTATTTAGATGTCAGACATCCTTGTCACTCGGGGCCAGAAACCGCATATATAGAAACGCCGAAGCAGTCCGCCCATGCTGATATGACCGCTGTCTCGTGGACAAAAGTGCTGGGATGATCCCCAGATTAAGCAGGCGTTCGAGATCCCAACTGATCATGTGAAACATGTGACCCATGACTTGCAGGGCGGAGTATTTTGCCAACACAAATTACGACCGCCTAGCTCCAAACCAATCAGAAGATTTGAACCATACAACTTTTTGCAAGTCACCAACAAGGATCAACAGAAAGATATCGCTTGGTTTAAGTATTAACGGTAGAATACCGGAAGAGCCATACTTCTGCTACGACGTCAAGTTGGGAACCTATTGCCCCATAAAGTCAATTCACAATGCTCCACTCCCGCCTCCGACCCCTCCCCCGCCGTCGTACGCCCTTATCTTCTTCCCCGTCTGCCCCTCCTCCCGATTTCCACGATGAGGACTCCGTCGAGGATGAATCTCCCGAAGACGTCTTTGGAGCCTTCCTTCCCCACCTGTTCCCAGACGATGCTCCCAGTTTCCACGGTGACCCTGGGCAGCATCTCCTGTACAGTTCTCCGCGCTATGGCGCTCTTGATATCATGGTCCCCTCCTATCCTGACCAGAGCCAAAATCGCTCGGAAGAGACCGCAGATGGGCAAGTAAACGATGCTGATAAAGGGCGAAAGCTGTTCGCGCACTTTCTATGGAGTGCGGCCATGGTGGTCGCAGAGGGGGTTGAAAAAGCAGAGCATCTCTCTTCGGTGGGACAATTGGATTCCGATACGGCGATGTGGAAAGTTACAGGGGAGAGTGTGCTTGAACTGGGCGCTGGTTCGTATTTCCCTGGTTTCTCTTCCTCACAGCCGCGGATGTATCGGACTGATCTTATCCTGCAGGTGCCGCATTACCATCTGTAGTCTGTGCCCTCGCGCAAGCATCTACTGTTACCATTACCGACCATCCCTCTTCTCCCGCCTTGGCTGGCGCCATCGCCTTCAACGTCGACCACAATGTTCGCAACTCTTCCTCCACTACTGATGTCACTATCAAGCCCCATGAGTGGGGAACACTGGACAGCGATCCCTGGGCCGTCGAGAAGAAAGGAACCTTCACACGGATCATCGGTGCGGATTGCTACTGGATGTCCTCGCAGCACGAGAACCTCGTAAGTACGATGAAATGGTTCCTTGCACCCGGCGGCAAGGTCTGGGTTGTTGCCGGATTCCACACCGGGCGAGCCATCGTGGCCGGGTTTTTCGAAACTGCAGTAGACAACGGACTGGAAATTGAGCGGATCTATGAGCGGGATCTCAATGCCGGGGCGGAAGACGGGAACGAAGTCCGTCGGGACTGGGTGTCTGAGAGGGAGGGCGAAGGCCCCGAGAACCGCAGGAGATGGTGTGTAGTTGCTCTCCTCAAGAGAAAAGGAGAGTAGATGACCCCGGGGATTCAAATACCCAGGATAAAGCTCCCAACCCAGCATCCAAAAGTGGTATATGCCAATGGATTCATACATCATGACTGATGAAACGTGACGACTATACAGCACGATAGAACATTTAAAAAGGAATAAAACAACCGTACTCCATCTATCTATACCTCCCCCCATAAGATCCATAATCAAACCCTCTTAAAACACACTGTACAAACCCCCTGACCCTCATGTCCCCCAAATCTAAACCGGGGATACTCAACACGCCCCCAGACCTCTAACCGGTCGTCCTCCCCCTTCTCCCTGGTAAACCACATCACCAACTCCTCCTCAGTCCAATTACAACTCGTAACCACCAGAAACCCACCCTTCTTCACCAGACGCCTCGCAACCCCAGGATACATCTCACAAACCCGCCTCTGCACCTTCTTCCCAGCCACAGAAACATCCGCATCGCCCTCAACCACTTCGTCCGACAGCGAAACAGCATCAAACGTCCCCTTATCAAGTACAATATCAAATCCGCCCTCCCCATACGGAAACCAATCCAACTTCCCCGGCTCAGTCACCTCCTCCGCAGAATGCAAAATATCCCACTCCTCAAACCTAATCTCCCCCTCACCCTCACCCTCACCACCATCCCCAGCACCATCCTCATCCTCCTCATCCGTCAAATAAGTTGAATGCATCTTCAACCTCTGCAACTCCCTCGCCAACTCCACACTCCGCGCCGAATAATCCACCCCAACCATCACACCCCGAAACCCGCCTCGCTTACGCAACAGAGCCAACATGCTCCCATTCCCGGTCCCCAGGTCCAGGATACTGGGGTGGTTGGCCCTCGCGGGGACAGTGTTGCACGGTGCAAGTGGGAAACCCTCTTCGGTTAGGAATTGGAGGACTTTATCCGGGGCGTTGTATTCCGAGAACCATGATGTGCCGGGGTCGTCGTCGTCGTCGACTGATTCGGCGTCTGAGTCGGCGTTCGTGGTTTCTTGGTTGTTGAGGTTGTTGGGGTTCTGTTTTGTGGAGATGTGTGTGAGGGTTCGGGCGTAGAAGGTTTCCCAGCTTTTTGTTTTTGGGGGGCGTCTTGTTAGTTAGTTTCTTTTGGGGCAGGGGCGCTTTATTGTGATTTTTATTCTTTTTTGCCTTTGTTTTGGACTGCTTGGGGTATGATTGCAGAATGTGATGGGTACGAATGGAGGGGTAGCGGGGTACTGGCTTTTCAATTGTACTGCAATGGATTGGGACTTACTAGTCTTTGGTTCCCAGTTCGCTGGGTGGAAGATGACTTGGATGACTTTCTTCTGCCATCTTTTTGATCTTTTCTGTTTCGTGAACCACGCTGTGGTGGTCTGCGTGTGTTATAATGGTTGACGTGAAGTTTGGAGAGCCGCGCGGGAGACAAAATTGGGCCCCGCAGAAATCTAGAACCGCGGCTAAGTTGCAATTGAACGCTACCTCCCAGTCTACTAAAGGTGACCTTATTTACTACTTGGAATATCACATGCACTTGTTTAACTCCTTGTATTCAAGAATAAAGTAGTCCCTTGGGTATTTCGCCGTAAACCGCGATGCATTGATCACAGTGTAAATAAAGAGTGATAAGACAGTATGGGAAGGAATGGAAACGATGTAGATGCCTCTAAACATCGAAGCGAAAAGTGTAGACCCCAACGAATAGTATTACATGGTCAGGTACGAGTTCTCGCCACCTTTATCTCTTTTTGATAACACCCAGGACGCCGGTAATAAGCATGCAATGTCACCCTTTAAGACGCAACATGGAGCCACCGGTTGACAAATTGAAAATGCCAATTAGCGAAGGTAGTGTGATAGAATGAAAAAATAACGACTGCAAAGCCCGCTTTGGTCATCAGATCATCAGAATAGAAGCCCAAAGGCCAATGGAAATAAGGTGAGAAAGGCAGTAGGAAAAAAAAAAAAGAAGAAAAGAGAAGAAAAAAAGGGAAACGAAGAGAAGCCAGCAGGAAGGAAACTCTTTTTGGGCAAGAAAAAGAAAAAACGACAGTGAGCCTCAACTGGGCAAGTCAAACAGTCATGCAATCATTTCAAGGACGTGTCCTCAGAGATGACCCTGAGCGAACTCCGTCTTAAAAACATCAAACCAGAATTATAAAAATTCGTCAATATTTCTCATGATCAGGCGCTCGTTTCCTGGGGGAGGAGACCGAGGATCCGCTATTCGCGACCCGAACCGGAGACCGTGTAGCCCATTATTCTCCAGTTGACTAGATATCGACTGTGACATCGGTGCCGCTAGAAAACCGGTAGTCCTGGGTGAGAAGAGAGCAGGTGGTTCTGCTGGACCATCCCGCACGAAGATGTCGGTCTTTGCTAATGAGTATGGCCCGCTCTCCGGGCGCCATGAATTTAATACGGACTCTGGACGAATCGATCGTACTGCTGAGTCGCCCACTTGAAAGCTTGACTTTCGCAGGGTTAATGGCCGCGGGGATAGGCTTCGCTTATATGAAGGGGTTTTAGGGAAGCTTAGACTTTCAGCAGAAGTAGGGGTGGTCTGGTTTGTCGAAGGTACCGAGAGTGAGCTCGTCGAGGCCTGCGAAAAACCAGCGCATGAAGCTGGTTCAGCTGGTGTCACGATTTTAGGCTGGCTCAGCGCCTCTGTTCGGGAGGGTTGCGGTTCAGAGCCCCTCCGAAGTCCTTCCGCAACCCACTCCTCAGGCACCGGTTTTGAAGGGCCACCCCGAAGCAACCGGGAACGGAAATCTGTCAATTGGTAGATAAGGCTCATATTAGGGCCAACCCAGCGACTCCGTCCCTTGACAATCTCGTACATAGAGTTGAAATCCAGGTCTCGGTTTTTGTATAAACCATATGCGATGACCAGCGAAGCGGATCGGCTGGCACCCAACTGACAGTGAACAAGGACCTTTTTCCCTTGTGAAATGCGGGAATCAATGAGCTCGCAGAGGGGGTAGAGATCATCGAGTATCTCTGAGTTATGGTCCCAGCCCACGTGGATGTATTCCGGATTGGATGATGCGTCGTTGCGAGGTGTGCCAGGCGACGACACATTCGGGGGGTACTCAAAGGCGGATTTGAAGGAAATATCTGACATGGCTGTTTCTGGGACTTCGGTCGGCACCGCCTTGGGATTCGTGGATGCATTCCGAAGGACACTCATGACAGATTCGTTGTTGGCAGTTGTGTTAGTGAAGGGATTTACTACTTCCTTGGCCACGTTGACGACAACATCAAACTGGGACGCTTCTTGTGCTGTCGGTTCCAAGTACAAGTAGACTCCGGAGTCGTAGATTTGGATAGGCCCATTCGGATAACCCCGCTCATTGCGTCTAGTAGACTCTCTCGAGTCTAAGTGATCATCCTCCTCCTCCAATTCATGGAGCACACCGCCAGAAACTGAGTTTTCATCGGGGACTGGCTGCAAAGGCGATGGGTTGTCCTCCGAAGCCGATGGTCGTCGACTGCCATGATGGGTCATGGGCCTAGGTAATTGCATGCCACCTTTGGGACCAAATGAAGGGGAGAAGACCGAATTGAGAGATGGTGAAGATTCAGTATGTCGCAAAGGTTGCCGGCTTAGTGGGGTGGGAGGGACTTCAGAGATATTGCTAGAAAACGATCTATCAAAACCGGGAGTCCGGATGGTAAGATTTGCCGGTTTTCGGCGTGAGCTTTTGGGAGGGATGTGTACTGGCGACGGTGGCGCGGACAAATGGTGTTGAGAGGTTGTTTCAACGATAGATGCTGTCGCAATTGGAGGCCGGGAAGACTGTGAGGGCGGAGGCATTCTCAAGGATAAATTCTTCAGGTTTCGTGCCCGCCTGCTGGGAGAGTCCGGGCGCACAGGATTCGGTGTGTCGGACGACAATCTGGAAAGGTTGTTATGGGCTGTCGAGAGCGAGTGGCTCTCGATATTGCGCGGGGGTGGCATGAATTTGGTATATGACAGTGGCATGGACGTCGGAGATTCCGGAGAAGAGCTGGGGGATGTCTCTGGGCCGGAAGGCGAATCGAAGGTAGAGATTGTGGTGGTCGGCGAAGAATCAGTAGACGCTGATGTCATCGACGAGATGCTCTCACGGTGCTTAAAAGGAAGGGGGCGTCGCGACGTATTAATGGTGACATTAGCGGGCACTTCGAGAGGTTTTACTGCTGCCGTCTGCTCCTCTTTGTCGGTAATGCTGGATGGTCTCCCACCAAACACTGACATAAAGGATGGGAATGAATCCGGTACTGACGGTGGACTGGTCTGAACGGGCATGATGAATCCAGACTTCAGTACAGACCTGCGCTTGAAAGGCGACACCCTTTCAGGTATACAGCTCTCACAGAACGCCGGCGCAAAAACCGCCGGACAGTAATCGCATCCAGACGAAGGGAAAGAAGAAAGTGTCGCACTTGCTACCAGAGCAAATGACCTTTTTGAAAGAGCACAATCAGTTTCCATGTTCAAGCTTTGTGGCTTCGCAAAGTACAGATGTCCAGGCCGAAAGAAACCAAGCAAGTAGAGCTGCAAGGAGGGTGAAACAAGGCCGGCAAGCTGAACCTTAAAAGAGAGGAAGCAACAATGGGATCAGAGCAGAATTCTGTTGTTGTCCCGGGCGTAGAGCATTGAACGTTGTAGGTATGGAAGCGAGCAGAAAGAATGGACGTCTAGTAATGAATGTAAGAAAGACGTGAACATACCAAAAGTTGCCACAAGAGGTCTGGTACCTCTTGAAGATGTGTCAGTGATGTAAAGGGAAGGACAGTGATGTGCAATGCCAACAAGGAAATAATAAAATGAGAAAAACAAATCAATCCAGAAACCGCAGCAGAAAAATAATAAAAATTGGAGTCAAGGAGAGCTAGAAATTAAAAAATAAAAATAGAAGTAAAAATGAAAAGGCAAGGAAAAACAGATGCAGCGCCAGAAATTACTGCATGGAAAGAAGATCCAATAAATTAATAGTTCAGATCAAAGAGTAAAAAGTTGGAGGAATTGCCGCCCGGTA